GAGGCAAAGTGTGGATTATTCTAACAGGACTCGCTCTGGATCTGATCATCTCCTCTCTGACCCGTGGTGCTCCCGGGGCCCGGCTGCTGGCCAGCTGCCCGCGCGCTCAGTCCATGTGAACACCTGGAGTTGTTTACCTGTGCGCCGCACCAGCAGACCAGGAGGAGCTGTTCTTCATAACCTGCGCCCGCTGGCGCGCGCGTCTCCATCCACGGCTGTGCCTGTGTTGGACAATATCAGGATGTGTTTAATCAACGCAAGGTCTGTTTCCAACAAGACGTTTATCCTCAATGACTTTTTTAAAGATGAGGAGTTGGATTTTCTGTTCGTCACAGAATCTTGGATTTCTGATGGTGAGTCCAGCGCCCTGGTGGAACTACTTCCTCCGGACTGTGTATGTTGCAATGCCCCGCGGCCATCAGGTCGGCGCGGGGGGGGGATTATTAACAGTTTTTAAAGCAAACTTTGCGTGTAAACAGTTGTCCATCCCGGTGTCCCGCGCCAGCTTCGAGCTGAGCGCCTTTGAACTTGGACACTCTCCTCCGGTCCTGTGTGCGCTCATCTACCGCCCACCTCGTTCTAAGGACTTCATAAATGAATTCTCTGACTTTTTGGCTGATATCACACAAAGATACACTCACTTTTTGCTTATTGGTGACTTTAATTTGCATGTGTGTTGTCAGGAGAAGCCCTTAGTGAAGGACTTTCTAGATTTATTGGACTCTTTTGGCTTAGCTCAGCAGGTGAGCGGCCCCACCCAGGAACATGGTCACACGCTGGACCTCGTTTTAACAAGCAATGTCTCTGTTTTTAATTTGAAAATCGGTGACAATGTTTTTTCAGATCACATGCCTGTATTGTTTGACTTCACCCCCCCTTGTCATACTGCTAAGACGTGCGTTCCTGCACGTACGCGTTCCATTAACCATTTCACTGCTTCTCGTTTTAATGAAGGTTTTAATTCTGAGAGGATCGAACAGCTCTCGGTGTCTCTTACCACTGAGGAGCTAACCTCTCAGTTCAGCTCTGCCTGTTTAAATGTTCTGGACCGTGTTGCTCCCCTTAAGACCAGAAAAACGAAACTTAAATCAGAGCCTTGGCTGAATGACGTCACGCGAGCCGTTAGGCGGCAGTGTCGCAAAGCTGAACGAAAGTGGAGAAAGGACAGGCTCCAGGTGTCTTTTCAAATGTTAAGGGAGAGTTGGCGTCACTATCAGAAAACCGTTAAAGCTGCCAAATGTAAATTATTTTCTGATTTAATTGTCTCCAACTCCCACAACCCCCGAGTTCTCTTCTCCACCCTGAACTCAGTTCTACACCTCAGTGAGCCTTCACCTCTGGAAGCCTCAACTGAGCTGTGTGAAAACTTCCTCCATTTCTTTTTAGAAAAAGTGGCAAACACCCGGGCACTCATTTCTCCACCAGCTCATGATCTGTCCATCCCATCTCAGTGTGTGGCTGTGTTTGACCACTTTGAGCCCATCTCTCTGTCCTCTCTGGAGCAGGTAATGTGCAGCATGAAGCCTTCTGGTTCCCCCTTTGATGTGGTCCCCCCTCGACTGCTAAAGGAAGTTTTTCCTACCCTGGGTCCTTTTATCCTCGCTATTCTGAATAGCAGTTTATCCTCAGGTGTGGTGCCAAAGACTTTTAAACATGCTGCTGTCCAGCCCCTCCTGAAAAAACCTAACCTTGACCCCTCAGTCATGTCCAACTTCCGGCCTGTCTCCAGACTCCCATTCACCTCTAAACTACTGGAAAAAATTGTGGAGTCTCAGTTGAAACAGTTTTTGGGGGATCACGCTATCCTTGAGTTATTCCAATCTGGCTTCAAATCTCTCCATAGCACTGAAACTGCTCTACTGAAGGTTTTTAATGACATTTTCATATCCACAGACGCAGGTGATTCTGTGCTGCTTGTCCTATTGGACCTTACATCTGCTTTTGACACCATCGACCACAAGATCCTCATTTCTAGACTGGAGCAGTGGGTGGGCATCACAGGGTCAGCCCTTAAATGGTTTGGGTCCTACCTCTCTGACAGAACCTTCTGTGTCAATATCAAAGATTTCAGTTTGGCATCGACCGCACTCCAGTGGGGGGTACCGCAGGGGTCCATCCTCGGTCCCCTTCTCTTTTCTTTATACCTGCTGCCACTAGGTGCTATCTTCCGCAAACACGACATACCCTTTCATTTCTATGCCGATGATTGCCAAATTTACTTCCCCCTGAGGCACAGAGGCACACGCTCTATTCAGCCTCTTCTTGACTGCCTGGCTGACATCCGGGACTGGATGGCTTTAAACTTCTTAAGCTTCAATGAGAAGAAGTCTGAAGTCATGCTGTTCCATCCCAGTGGCTCACTCATGAACTATGACATTGACCTATTCTCTCTAGCCCCGCTAGAGAAACAAAAGGTGACTAATCTGGGGGTGATAATGGACCCGTCCTTAAAACTCAACAGTCACGTAAACATGATGGTCAAATCCTGTTTTTTTCAGCTGAGACGGCTGTCTAAGCTGAAGCCTATACTCTCCAAAAAGAACCTTGAGACAGTGATCCACGCCTTCATAACATCTAGGCTTGATTACTGCAATTCACTTCTGTTTGGAATCAGTCAGTCCTCCATTGCTCGTCTACAACTGGTCCAAAATGCTGCAGCCCGATTTTTAACTGGTACAGGCTATAGAGAGCACATCACGCCAGTTTTGGCCTCCCTGCACTGGCTACCCATTCACCTTCGGATCCATTTCAAAATTCTCATGTATGTTTTTAAATCACTGAACAGTTCCGCCCCATCCTATCTCACTGATCTTCTGCAGCCATATGTCCCACCGCGCTCTCTGAGGTCAGCAGACCAGATACTTCTCTCAGTCCCAGAAACCCGTCGTAAGCTCAGAGGTGACAGGGCTTTCTCCGTTGCAGGTCCACGACTGTGGAATGAGTTGCCACTGAGTGTCCGGCAGGCTCCCACACTCTCAGTCTTTAAGTCTCGCTTGAAGACCCACTTCTATTCGCTTGCCTTTAACACGGTGTGATTTGTTTTGGTCCGGTCTGTTCTCTACTCTGTTGGCCATTTTAGTTAGCTCTTGCTGCTATTTGTATCTGTATTTCTATTTTATGTTTTCCTGTCTGCTGTGCATGTTTGTGTTCTTTTGTACAGCACTTTGGTTGGCCTTGTTGCTGTTTTAAGTGCTATATAAATAAATTGGTATGGTATGGTATGGTAATTAGGTCAATTGACAACAAGATTGGGTATGAAAAGAGCTTATCAGAGTGTCCGTGTCTCTCAGAAGCCAAGATGGTAAGAGGATCACCAATTCCACCATTTGTTGCGCAGAAAGATAGTGCAGCAATACTAGAATGGTGTTAACCAGCGTAAAATAGCAAAGACTTTTAAGTTATCATCATCAACCGTGCATAACATCATCAAAAGATTCAGAGAATCTGGAACAATCGCTGTGCGTAAGGGTCAAGGCCGTAAAACTCTACTGGATGCTCGTGATCTCCAGGCCCTTAAACGTCACTGCACCTCAAACAGGAATGCCACTGTCAAGGAAATAACAGAATGGGCTCAGGAATACTTCCAGAAAGCATTGTCAGTGAACACAATCCACCGTGCCATCCGCCGTTGCCAGCTGAAACTCTACAGTGCAAAGAGGAAGCCATTTCTAAGCAAGCTCCACAAGCTCAGACGTTGCACTTGGCCAGGGGTCATTTAAAATGGAGTGTGGCAAAATGGAAGACTGTTCTGTGGTCAGGTGAGTCACGATTTGAAGTTCTTTATGGAACACTGGGACGCCATGTCATCCGGACCAGAGAGGACAAGGATAGCCCAAGTTGTTATCAACGCTCCGTTCAGAAGCCTGCATCACTGATGGTATGGGGTTGCATGAGCGCTTGTGGCATGGGCAGCTTGCATGTCTGGAAAGGCACCATTAATGCAGAGAACTATGTTCAGGTTCTAGAACAACATATGCTCCCATCTAGACGTCATCTCTTTCAGGGAAGACCCTGCATTTTTCAACACGATAATGCCAGACCACATTCTGCAGCAATCACAACATCATGGCTACGTAGGAGAAGGATCCGGGTACTGAAATGGCCAGCCTGCAGTCCAGATCTTTCACCTATAGAGAACATTTGGCGCATCATAAAGAGGAAGGTGCGACAAAGAAGGCCCAAGACGATTGAACAGTTAGAGGCCTGTATTAGACATGAATGGGAGAGCATTCCTATTTCTAAACTTGAGAAACTGGTCTCCTCTGTCCCCAGACGTCTGTTGAGTGTTGTAAGAAGAAGGGGGGATGCCACACAGTGGTAAAAATGGACTTGTCCCAACTTTTTTGGGATTTGTTGACGCCATGAAATTTGGAAACAACAGATTTTTCCCTTAAAATGATACATTCTCTCAGTTTAAACTTTTGATCTGTGATTTGTGTTCTATTCTGAATAAAATATTAGATGTTGGCACCTCCACATCATTGCATTCAGTTTTTATTCACAATTTGTTTAGTGTCCCAACTTTTTGGAATCCGGTTTGTACTAATAATGCAAAACAATACGGTGTAACAACAGCAGCCTGAACATGAGTCTGGTGAGCAGATGGGTATGAATGAATACAGCAGCATGAGAATTCAAGAGATTTCCATTAATTTTTGAACAAAAAAACAATAAAAAGTGTAAAAGTTTAAAAGTCACAGTTTTAACATACCAAAATGCATTTAGGTATTTTTGACATTTAAATTGATAAAATAGCACAAAGTCTGCAATAATAGTTATAAAACAAACAAACAAACAAAAAAAATCAGGAAAACAACATTCTGAAGTATTCCATCAGCCTCTCAGTTTACAGGATTAATTAAAACAAAGTGTTCAGAAGCAAACTTGTTTACTTCTGTTATTTGGACATCAGATGAACAGGATGGATGTTCCTCCTGAATGTTTCTTGTACACAACCTGAACCTAAAGACATCTTTGTGTTTAAACTATGCTCTCTACAGGAACCCAGTGAGAAACAAGCAAAAAGAGAAAATCCTCATAAATATTTACTGTACAAACCAACGTTCAGCCAGCTTTTTACATTCCTGTCTGCCTCCTTTAAGGTCAGTGTTCAGGTTTTATCATCCGATGTTTCTGCGTCTGACTCCAGTGTCTCTTAAATAAGCTTTGATTTAGCTCATTTTTTACCTGCTGGTATGTCAAACTGAAATCTTCTGGTTTATTGTTGCAGTCATTTGTGTTTGTTATTTTCAGGAGTTACCTGCCAACAGTGTGCTGCTGGTGTATTTATCAGCTACAGGAGTCTTCCCAACAGGACATTCAGATTATGAAGGTAAAATAGTTAACATGTTGTGCTTCAAGTATGAAATGAACTGTAATCAGATCATCTGCGGACACTCGATTGAGAGTTTTCAATTGGTAATGTTGTCAGCTCACCTGTAGCGCTGCACATGATGTTAATATTCCAAGAGAACCGTTCACTCAGTGTTACGAGCACCTTTTCTATTTCTTATGGGCTTCACCCTTTAAGAGCTGACACTAGTGAGTTCACCCCGTACACAGCGTGCCAACACTGAAAAAATTTTTTGTCCACACCCACCCACTGTGTGGGCCTACCTTGGGTCCATATAAATTGCCTCGGGGCCATAGATCGGCTTCCCATTTTCTTCAGCCAGCGAAGACAACACTAAGAGAATTCTAAAGAGCAAGAAGATGTCATCCAGTGGAGTAATTTACTTTTGTATGGCATGCAAGACGGGGCACAGCCTCTCTTCAGACCTGCACGTCGTCTGTGAAGGCTGCCTGAGGGCTGTGCACTCCCACCAAGTCGTGACGCCGCAGGCCTCCTGCCCATCTTGCAAACTTCTCCTGGCCAAGGAGAAGCAACGCTGCCTCAAGCTTTTTTCTTCCATCGAAGAAGAACCGAAGGAGAGCTACCCACTGGACAAGTTTCTTGACTTCCTCAACGCGAGGCAGGACTCGGACGTGTCCATCTCTGATGCTGAGATGGCTAACAGCCATGCTCCTTTCTCTCGAACGAGAGAGTTGGAGACAGAGCTGCCATCGACAGATGTGTCCCAGGGCATCCAAATGTCCACCAGCACCCTCCTCTCGGTGATTGAAGCGGTCATCGACGCGCTGCCAGAGATTATCCAGAGGACAGTGAGGGCGTGCGACTTGTTCGTGGCTGGGCTGGCGGCGCCGCTACCTACAAACCTCCTGGCGGGAAGATTTTCAACCCAGCACATCGGCCACCGGGATCCAGTCTGTCCTCGGTTTCTGGCGGTGTCTGTGTACCTCTCAGGTTTGGTCATGGAACCCCTGAAGCTGAGGGTTCCGGTCTCAACCAATGCACCCATCACCAAGGTGGAGGGGCTCACGGACCACGGTTTCCTGACTGTTCCTCCGCTGGAGCCCAGCTTGTCGTCTGTCTTTGGGGTGAGAGTGGCACGATACATTGGACGACGTATCATTCCACCATCCCCCAGCGACCAGCTGACCATGAGGCTCACTGATAGGATCCATCAGTGTTCGTTCCAGGTGGCTGCAGCAACGAACAATGTGGGTATGCTAGCTCTTAGCATATCCATAAAGACCAAGGAGCCGAACCTCTCCCCTGCAGAGCTGGACAAGCTCTGTGCCACTGCATACACCATCACAAACCTGTGCGCGACACAGGCAGTTTGTTCTGCCCGCATCTCAACTTGGGCGACCGTGCTGCAAAGGCAGATGTGGTTGAAACCTTTCTCATTCATCTTGAATGAGATTAGGAAGGAGCTGCTGGTAATGGGACCTGTTAGTCCAGACGGACTATTCAGCCCTCACTTCCACTTGGTCCTGGACCAGCCGCAATCCTCCTCAGATGCCTTGGAACAAGTCAGAAGACGTGTGACCTGACCTCATGCAGACCCTTTCTCCCCCTGAATGGCTGGATGCAGGCAGGAGCGCAGACACCAGCATCAGCTCCAAAGACGCTCCACGGTCGCAACTACATCTTTGGGGAACCCAACCACTACCGTTCCCAGAGGACAGTCTCCACAGCTACCTGGTGCTGGCAGAGGTCGTCAGCTAGTGTGGTCGTGATCCAACCCGCCGCAGGAGACACAGAAGAGGCAGCAGAAAAAATGACGAGTTGGGCGTGTGTGTGTAATTTTCAGTGTGAAGGTTTTAAAATAAAACACAAACTTCACTCAAAGAGGAGAATCCTCCATTCAGACAAGAAGGAGTCCCCTGTCACTCCTGTTTTACACACATCCTTCACACTAGCCTTAAACAAACACTTGAAGGACAGTGAAATTTGACTGTTTTCACACAACAACCATATGAGCAAATGGTGCAAGAGTGTGCTGTCCGTGCAGACTTTTTTCCTAATTTTTCCCCTCCTTCAGCTCCCTCCTCCCACCTGGCAGTGAAGGCGGGCACTGAGGACAGGCACTCAAACACACTGGGTGGAAAGGTAATCTTTAAACACACATTTAAAAGACGCCAGAACCCCCCCACCACCACCACCTCCACACACCCAGAATATAAACCCGTGGTCGGAGCGTGCGCTCTACGTGGGGGTTTTCCTCCTCACTCTTAAGCCCCCCTCTTTCAGCTGCTGGTGGAGGGGAGAGCTGAAGACAAGCGTCATCCTAAGCAGTGCTCGATTTACTCGCCTGGTCAGCCCACACAACCCACCCAGATGTGGCTGAGGGGTGGTGTGAGAGTAACAAGCAGCCCATTCATAGCAAGCCCCCCCCCACCCCCCCACCCCATATGAGTCCATGCAGAGCCTCCCTCTCTGCTAATGATGGTGGTAGGGGCTCATCATTTCTCACGCACGACACAAAATGCACACGCACACCTGCTTTCAGAACGCGGCACGGCGTGGTGGCATACATGCCAAATGAGCAAATGGATGTACCGTTTAATCACCAAAGGCTACACGCTGCCGTTTGCAGCAGCACCCCCGAGGTTCTACGGAGAGTTAGAAACCCGGTTAACATCTGCGGAACAGGGTCTGATTTTATAGGCCAAATTAGAGGAACTCCTGCTGAAAGACGTGATCTCGAGGGTTCCCCGTGGAAAGGAGAAGACCGGTTTTTACTCTCGGTACTTCCTAGTTCCAAAGAAGACAGGAGGTTCAAGACCCATTTTGGATCTGTCCTCCTTCAACAAACGTACAAAACCAGATTCCAAAAAAGTTGGGACACTAAACAAATTGTGAATAAAAACTGAATGGAATGATGTGGAGATGGCAAATGTCAATATTTTATTCGTAAATAACATAGCTGACAGATCAAAAGTTTAATCTGAGTAAATGTAACATTTTAAAGGAAAAATATGTTGATTCAAAATTTCACAGTGTCAACAAATCCCAAAAAAGTTGGGACAAGTAGCAATAAGTGGCTGGAAAAAGGAAATTGAGCATATAACGAACAGCTGGAAGACCAATTAACACTAATTAGGTCAATTGACAACATGATTGGGTATAAAAAGAGCTTCTCAGAGTGTCAGTGTCTCTCAGAAGCCAAGATGGTAAGAGGATCACCAATTCCACCACTGTTGCGCAGAAAGATAGTGCAGCAATACCAGAATGGTGTTACCCAGCGTAAAGTAGCAAAGACTCATCATCATCAACCGTGCATAACATCATCAAAAGATTCAGAGAATCTGGAACAATCGCTGTGCGTAAGGGTCAAGGCCGTAAAACTCTACTGGATGCTCGTGATCTCCGGGCCCTTAAACGTCACTGCACCTCAAACAGGAATGCCACTGTCAAGGAAATAACAGAATGGGCTCAGGAATACTTCCAGAAAGCATTGTCAGTGAACACAATCCACCGTGCCATCCGCCGTTGACAGCTGAAACTCTACAGTGCAAAGAGGAAGCCATTTCTAAGCAAGCTCCACAAGCTCAGACTTTTGCACTGGGCTAGGGGTCATTTAAAATGGAGTGTGGCAAAATGGAAGACTGTTCTGTGGTCAGATGAGTCACGATTTGAAGTTCTTTATGGAACACTGGGACGCCATTTCATCCGGACCAGAGAGGACAAGGATAGCCCAAGTTGTTATCAACGCTCCGTTCAGAAGCCTGCATCACTGATGGTATGGGGTTGCATGAGCGCTTGTGGCATGGGCAGCTTGCATGTCTGGAAAGGCACCATTAATGCAGAGAACTATATTCAGGTTCTAGAACAACATATGCTCCCATCTAGACGTCATCTCTTTCAGGGAAGACCCTGCATTTTTCAACATGATAATGCCAGACCACATTCTGCAGCAATCACAACATCATGGCTACGTAGGAGAGGGATCCGGGTACTGAAATGGCCAGCCTGCAGTCCAGATCTTTCACCTATAGAGAACATTTGGCGCATCATAAAGAGGAAGGTGCGACAAAGAAGGCCCAAGACGATTGAACAGTTAGAGGCCTGTATTAGACATGAATGGGAGAGCATTCCTATTCCTAAACTTGAGAAACTGGTCTCCTCTGTCCCCAGACATCTGTTGAGTGTTGTAAGAAGAAGGGGGGATGCCACACAGTGGTAAAAATGGACTTGTCCCAACTTTTTTGGGATTTGTTGACGCCACAAAATTTGGAAACAACAGATTTTTCCCTTAAAATGATACATTCTCTCAGTTTAAACGTTTGATCTGTGATTTGTGTTCTATTCTGAATAAAATATTAGATGTTGGCACCTCCACATCATTACATTCAGTTTTTATTCACAATTTGTTTAGTGTCCCAACTTTTTTGGAATCCTGTTTGTATAATGGAACGGCCGTTTCATATGCTGACGATAAAACGAGTATTCAAATGCGTCAGGCAGAGCGATTAGTTTGTCTCAGTGGACTTGAAATATGTTTTTTCATATCTCGATAATAAACAAACACAGGAGGTTCCTGCATTTTTTTCTTCCAGGAAGTTCTGCACCAATACAACCATCTCCCCTTTGGTTTTTCGCTTGCCCCATGCACATTCTCAAAATGCGTGGAAACAGCATTACAGCCTCTGTGCACAGCAGGGATGAGAGTCCTCTTTTACTTGGACGACCTTCTCCTCCTGACCCGGTCCAGGGAGGAAGCATAAATCCAAACAAGGGTTCTGGTGTCGCATCTATTTCATTTGGGCTTCACAATAAACTGAGAGAAAAGCTCAACTTTACCCTCCCAGCTCATCACCTTTCTGGGGGTGGACCTAAACTCGGTCACCATGACAGCCCTCCTGTCACAGCAAAGGAGGGTATCCCTGACATCACTGCTTCAGCATGTCAGGGTTCACAGGTCGGTGACAGCCCTGATAGTCATGCGTCGGCTAGGAAGGATGTCAGCGGTTCATGTCGTACCGCTAGGACTATTACACATGAGGCAACTGCAGATATGGTTCAATTATCTGCGTCTCATCCCCTCACATCGCAAGCACCACATGGTTACCATTTCTCGGTCAGTAGGGTGGACCTGAGTCACAGGGGAAACCCTCAGATCCTGTCAGAGGGGGTTCCCCTGGGTAAAGTGATGTCATTCAAGTCCATGTGGTGACATGTCTGTCCCAGACGGTGGGAGGAAGGTGGCCAGCCCACATGTCCCTCCATATAAACGTGTTGGAACTTCTTACAGTGGGGAAAATGATCAGACACTTTGCCCCACTTCTACACGTGATGGTCCATACAGACAATAGAACAATGGCAGTTTATATAAATCGCCATGGGAGCGTTCACTCAGTTCAGCTGCTGGACACGGCCAGAGAACTGCTCTGTTGGGTGCGCACACGTCTGCACTCTATCAGAGCAGTTTACATCCCAGGCATGCTAAACAGAGGAGCAGATATTATGTCCAGAGGGGGCCCTCAGGACAAAGATTGGAGCCTTCACCCGGATCTGATCCTTCAGATCTGGAACAGATTTAGGAGCGTAAAAGTGGATCTGATGGCCACTCGAGAAAATCTCTAAACCCATGGGATGCACTACCACTGGGGGTGAATGTGTTTGCACACAAACCATGGCCTCATAAGCTGCTTTATGGTTTTCCTCTGTCTCTGCTAATAGTGCAGTTATTGGAGCGGGTTCAAGAGGAACGGTTGAGGGCAATTCTGATCATCCCAGAACGCACGAGCACTTCATGGTTCTCAGTTCTACGACAGTTGATGGGCCAGCTCTGGAAGTTGCAGTGGCAAGAGGATGCCCTCTTAAAGGTGGGAGGAACAATCAGGAGCTCCCCAGTGATAGGTCAGCGCCTCTGGTCCTGGCCGCTGAACGGGAATGTTTAGAGAGAATGGGACTTTTTCAGGACGTGGTGCGCACAATCCAGGGTGCACTCGCATATTCCACCACGGCCTGTTATGCATACAAATAGACAGCTTTTCAGTTATGGTGCCTGGAGAGGGATGTGGATCCAATCTCATGCCCCTTAAGCTGCATTTTGTCCTTCCTGTAGTTGCTGATGGACAGGAACCTGGCTTTCAGCACAATTAAAACATACACCGCAGCCATCTCTTCCTGTCAAGAGGGTTTTAATGACAGAATGGTTTTTAATCACCCTCTGATGAAATGCTTTCTGAAGGGCGTACACAGACACAGACTGGTGGCACGCGCTTTACTTCCACAATGGGACTTAGCGCTCATACTCCGTGCGCTGTCTAAGGATCCGTTTGAACTCTTGGGTCAGGTACCACTGAAATTACTGTCTTTCAAAACAGCTTTAGTGTTAGCTCTGATGTCAGCAAAGAGAGTGAGCGATCTCTCAGCCTTGTCCATCGCTCCCTCCTCTCAGAATCCAAGGTGATGGGAGCTCAGCCGTGCTTCGACCAAACCCTGCTTTTACACCTAAAAGCATCATGATCCAGAGTTATAATGCTGGATGGGTTCTCTCTGCCCCCACATAACTCTGAAGAAGAGGCACAATCTCAGCTCCTCTGCCCTGTTCGCGCGGTCGCATGTTACGTAAAGCGCACTGCGTAAATCTGAACGATTGGGTATTCATTTCAGGGAACAGTCACAAGGTCAACCTTTATCTCCTCAGTGCCTGTCTCACTGGCTATGTAAGACTATAGCTCTGGCTTATAGTGCGTCTGGGTTTCCCCCTCCTGATAGACTCAGGGCTCATCCCACCAGAGGGATTTCAACCTCCACTGCACTGTACGGAGGTCAGTTTGTACAGGACATTTGTTATGCGGCTTCCTGGTCATCGCTGACCCTTTCTTCCGCTTTTACCTGCGTGATGTCTCCAACCTTTCTCTGACACTCGGTTCTCAGAGTCCTGTCTGAGTGACGTTGCAGCTATCCTCACTCAGTTTTTTTCAACCCTGCTCATTCCTCTTATAAGCAGGTGGTTTTCTCTGTCTGTCGTTCAAGCGGGGGAACTTCCTCTGTGTGGAAGCCCCTTCCCTTCCCCTCTAGTTGCCAACTATGTGAGTAAGCTGAATCCTCAGCTTCAGACCAGCACAGAGGGTACGCACCTGTCACCAGTGCACATTGAGCATATGGATCAGCGGTGCGTAATTATGCTTGAATGGAGAGTCAGGGTGAGCATATTTAGGTAGTTTTTTTCTGTGTTCATGGTTTTGGATGGATCTAGTGAGGCATAGACTACATTCTGCTTTGCCCTTTAACCCACTAGTGTCAGCTCTTAAAGGGTGAAGCCCATTTGAAATAGAACGTTGGTTACGTACTGTAACCCCAGATTTTACGAGTATGGGCATAGCCCTTCAAAACTGGCCTCATTGGCTCCTAAGTGGCTGAAGAAAAAGTACTCTATTTGGGAGCAGATCTACAGTCCTGAATCAATTTATATGGCCCCAGGGTGGGGCCCACACAGTGGGTGGGCATGGACTAGAGTTTTTTCAGTGTTGGCGTTCTGCGAGTGGGGTGAACCCACTTGTGCCAGTTCTTAAAGGGCTACGCCCATACTCAGAATCTGGGGTTATGGTACATAACCAACGATTTGACATGAAGAATGCCAAAAAAAAGTATTTTTCGTGAGGCTCCTTCATAAAACAGTTCTGTGAAATGTCCACACAGACCTCTCTGTCTTTCTCCTCCATCCGGATGGTCATAAATTACCGATCAAGCCTCGTTTTGCTCAGACGTGAACTTTTAGAAATTAAGCAGGCTGAGCCGAACCAAAACAGGTGTGGAGCAGAACTCAGCTGGGTTGACTTGAAGTGTAACACATTAAAATCTGCCTCGTATTGTTTTTAAACATCAAGAATGAACTCAGTTGACAGAGTTTCTGGGTCATCATGGATCTTCCTTTGGTGACGAATCTGTCTAAGTCTTCAGCCTGAGCTATAAAGTAGGAAGTGTCAGCCTCATGGACAGAAACTGGAAGAGAGGAGAACTGAAAGCTTTGCCTCCCATTTTACTGTTAGAAACTCTAAGAACCACAAGTAAACCTGCAGTCTGAGAGAGAAGTGCTCTGTTAGTAAAATATGGAACAATAAGATCTGTAATGTAAGATGGAACTAGGTATGTGAGGAGATTTGAAACTCTGTTCTGGTGTTTGTGTCCTGGTTTCCAGTGGGTCCATATGACTTTGGAGGAGTTCTGACGAACACCAACCGAGATGTGGTGAACGGAGAGATGGTCCAGAAGAGGAACCAGGCCCAGAAAGAGATGCACTGGTGAGGGCTGTGTTCTCATGTTGGGACTGATAAGGTCTGAGGTCCACTCAGAAACTGAAGGTTCTGTTGTTTTTCATGCTGCAGCCTTCATCCAGGGGATTTATTTCCATTTACCAGGAAGCCTCTGTTTATCATCGTGGACTCCTCCAACAGCACAGCTTATAAGGTCTGTTACTCTGAGAGGTTCTATGATGGCCAGACTAGGTCCTGTTCAGGACGGGGCGGCTGTGGCTGAGTGGTTAGAGCAGTCGTCCTCCAATGCGAGAGTTGGGGGTTCGACTCCACCAGCAGTCACATGCTGAAGTGTCCCTGGGCAAGACACTGAACCCCTCATAGCCTCTGATGTGTGTCCCATCAGTGATGAATGTGATCTAAATCACTGATTAGTCTCTTTAGAATGATTTGTTCAATTAGCTTTGTAGAGATCTAGTATAGAGCTGTATGAATGGGTAAATGAGGCACAGATTGTTGTAAAACGCTTTGAGTATCTTGAAATAAGATAGAAAGTTGCTATATAAGTACAGTCCATTTACCATTTACCATTCAGGATTGTTTGATGTTTTCTGTCTTTGGTCTGAACAGAACTTCAGCAATCTGTTTGGTCAGCCTCTGGTGTGTCTGCTCTCACCTACAGTTTACCCTAAGAGTGTACCAGGTGAGTTATCTCTGTTCACAACCTCCTAAAGCTGAAATAAGACTCATCCATCTGCTCTTTATCAGGTCTAGCTGTTTTCTGTCCAAAACCACAGACCTGTGGACAGAAACCTGACCAGGAGCAGGCTATTTAGAGCATTTGTCCTGTGTTTTCCTGTCTTTAGACGCGTCCCAGCGGGGGAGTCTCTTCACTCTGTTCCTCTACAGTCCTCTGCTGGCATTTTCCTCCATCTGTGGACTAAACAGCATTGGACAGGGGCTCTGGGAGCAGGCGCAGGAGTTCCTCCATAAAGTCTTCCGGGACATCGGACAGATGATAACTCGCTCACGGACCATAGGTATGGATCTGTTACACATCTGCTATTAAACCTTTACAGAAAGACTTCAGGAAATATTTGATTTAAATCGTCTGAATTAACAAACGTGGACAAATTCAAACAAACGGGCTGTGAGTTTTACTGAAACAACAACAAAAACGTCAAAGGCTCCAGAGATGCAGCAGCTTGTTGGTCTTCTATATTTCCCAGCATGCTTTGTTTCCTCCTCTGTCTCCATCATGACTGCCCCCACAGATCCTTCATGTCGCCTCTGATCGGACCGTCGATGATTCAGTCAGAGGATCAACAGGAAACAGGAAAAAGACTGAACCTGTAGTTTCAAAATAAAGCCATTCAGAATAAAAGTCTGACAAGTTGCTGTTGGAGTTTCAGACTCCCTTCAACATTTCTGCAGAAGCTTTAGTGTCCTGTTTAATTTGTTTCACTTCGGAGATGTTTAAGACTTCCTGGCTTGGTCTCTGCAGATCAGGCCTTTCTGCAGTTTTTCGGTGACGAGTTCCTGCGGCTGCTCCTGATCCGGTTCGTGTTCTGTTCTGCTGTGCTCCGACTCCATAAACTCTTCCGGGTGAGTCTAAAGAAAATGGACCTGTCGTTGGTTAGTGACGCTAAAAGGTGACCAATTTGACCCGTTCTTGATGCTAACACTGTTAGCTTTAGCACTGTTACCGAGGAGGGAAGGAATAAAAACCCCAGCAGGAAGTGGACCTGCTGATCCTGGACAAGCTAACGTTAGCGTAGCAGTATATCTAGCTGCTACAGGAAGTTATAAAAGTTGTTCTGGTTCTGTGTGTGCAGGAGTGTCGGAGCTTCCCGGAGTCGTACCCCGAGCTGCCAAAGCAGGACACGGTGGAGAGCAGCCTCCTGCAGAAGCACATCCTGGACCTGGCTGCCATGCTGGACGTCCAGAACTTATTTTGGGACAATTCACTGGAAACCTACTAACTTCTCTGAACGGGACAACCCATGTTGAGACAGACTGAAGAACCGGAGATCAGACCGGTCTCTGGTCTTTGTTTTTAAAGGTAAACACATGCTGGACTCAATCAGACATCCTGTGTCTCCATGTCTCCATCTGTAGGAACCGGTGTCATGTTCTCGACGACTTGAACCCATTTTTATTCTCACCAAACAAAAAGCACCAACAAGCCACAGCCTTCGCTTCATGTTTGTGTCATTTCTCTTCAGTTCTTTATTGTTTGTTGGTTCGTATAGAATTAAAAGCTGGGAGAGAAGAGCAGCACCAGGAAGCAGCCAAAACCCTTCACAATAAGAGCACAGCAGAATACAGATTTCACTAAAATGTTGGATCAGAATTTACAAAATAAACTGGAAGTCAACGCTCATCTGACTTCCAGCAGGTGGTTTCATGTTTTTATTAAACTTAGTTTAAAAATTATAAATATTAATGTTGTTAATCAGCATGCCAGCTGTAACCGTCCATCATTTCACTTTTACACTTTCAGAAAAGTTCTGTTACGTCCGTCCAGTGAAGTTCCTGATCAGAACCAAATGGTTCTTGTGTAAAACTTCTAGAACTGTGGTTCCCAAACTGTCTAAACTATGGCCCACAAACTAACAGCCCAACTCTTGCTGGTTCTGCTGCTGGTTCTGGTGGCTCTGTTGGTTCTGGTTCACAAGCTTCTCTGATGACCCAAACAAACATTTTACAGATTTGATCCGTTTCTAAGAACCATTTATATTTATGGGACATTTAGGACTAAAGTATGAGACCCACCAGTTGGTGTTTCAAGACCCTCAGCTCGGTTCTGAACCCACCTCTGAAACCACTGTACTAAAAGGTTCTGGGAACCATCGAATAAAGCCATCATCTCACTGGGTTGAACATGCAGGTCCAAACACCACCAGATGAGAAATAATGACGGGTTTTAACAAGACACCTGGGTCCTTGAGACCGAGACCAGATGATATTTTGACAGAAACAGCTGTGGCCACAAGCTCCGCCTCCTGACGGCTCCTCTCTGAGTTCTCCTCAGACCTTAGAACGGTCTGCATGACCTTTGACTTCAGGGAGCCAACTCATTTTCACAAGGAGCCAAAACCTAAAACCTGATCCGGAGCCAACCTTTTTAAAAACAAAATATTAAATCTGCTTTGTTTTTCCAGAGTTCTTTTCCAAAATATTCACATGGAGACTCGTAGGACATTAGAGTGAAACTCCTCTCTGTGTTTTTTTCTTCTGCTCAGAACGGGGGATGATTAAGCTTTGATCAAGGAGTTCCGAGCATCAGACCGAGGTGGTTGGAGGTGGGGATGAACTACCGTGCATGGGCAAGAGTGCACTTTTACAATCTGTGCACGTGAGAGGAGAACATGCATTAAAACAAACAGTCCTGTAAGGTACTGGGTTCATGACTTTAATGGGAGCTTAGCTGCAGTAAATAATTAAATTATTGTTTTTTCCCTTAAATGTTCTCTAGAGGAGCACAGGGACTCTGTCAGCTGATCACTGAGGAACCTGTTGCTCCAGATGGTTAAAAAACTAAAGTGAAAATGTAATTATGGAACAAGTTGATGTCATCGGGCATTTTGCTGAGTCAGGTCCAGGTCCCAACCGACCCATCAGAACCTGTCTCAAAGCCAGACCAGGTCCACTCAGACCCATCAGAACCTCAGCACAGTGCGTCGTAGCGAAGGGGCGGAGTTTAAAGCGACGGAAGACATTTTAGTGTTTTTTTTCTTGTAGTTCTTGGTATCGTTGAGTGTGTGGTACCGTTTTGGCACAAATGTGTTCGTTCAGTTTGTGGTTCTTTGATGTGTTCTGAAAAATTAAGCTGGGAAAAAAAACAAAGGAGATAAAACAGATTTTTATGAACTAAATCTACATTCCAACTCTGACAAGATGGAAAGACAGCAGGTTCTCCGTTTCCTGATCCACCATTCTGACAGAACCGCACTTTATAAACTTTAATATATTATTAATGTTGTTATTATTATTATATGTTGTTGTTTGTTGTGATTATGAGGAACTGAGATTGTGTTTGATTAACTTTTCCCAAGAAAGAAAACGTTTATGTTCTCCTCTGAGAGTTTCTAACAGCTGCAGCCTGAATGATGCCGAGCTGTTTGTACAACACAGAAACAAGTTCATCACATGGTACACAGTTCATCATGCAGATCAGTTCATCATGTAGTAAACAGTTCATCATATAATAAACATTCATCCATCCATCCATTTTCTTCCGCTTATCCGGGTCGGGTCGTGGGGGTAGCAGCCTAAGTAGGGAGGCCCAGACTTCCCTCTCCCCAGCCACTTGGTCCAGCTCCTCCGGGGGAATCCCGAGGCGTTCCCAGGCCAGCCGAGAAACATAGTCCCTCCAGCGTGTCCTGGGTCTTCCTCTGGGCCTCCTACCAGTGGGACGTGTCCGTAACACCTCACCAGGGAGGCATCCAGGAGGCATCCTAACTAGATGCCCAAGCCACCTCAACTGGCTCCTCTCAACATGGAGAAGCAGCGGCTCTACTCTGAGTCCCTCCCAGATGATCGAGCTTCTCACCCTGCCTCTAAGGGAGAGCCCAGACACCCTGCGGAGAGAACTCATTTTGGCCGCTTGTATCCGAGATCTTGTTCTTTCGGTCACAACCCAAAGCTCATGATCATAGATGAGGGTGGAAATGTAGATTGATTGGTAAATTGAGAGATTCGCTTTTTGACTCAGCTCTCTCTTCACCACGACAGACCTGTACAGCGCCTTCTTCACTGCAGATGCTGCACCTATCCGCCTATCGATCTCACACTCCATTTTTCCCTCATTCGTGAACAAGACCACAAGATACTTGAACTCCTCCACTTGGGGTAGGACCTCCTCTCTGACCCAGAGAGGGCACTCTACCCTTTTCCGGCTCAAGACCATGGCCTCGGATTTGGTGGAACTGATCTTCATCCCGGCTGTGTCGCATTCGGCTGCGAACCGCTCCAGCGAAAGCTGTAGATCACGATCTGATGAAGCCAATAGGACCACATCATCTGCAAAAAGCAGAGACGCAATCCTAAGGCCACCAAAACGGATCCCCTCAACACCTTGGCTGCGCCTAGAAATTCTGTCCATAAAAGTTATAAACAGAATTGGTGACAAAGGACAACCTTGGCGGAGTCCAACTCTCACCAGGAACGAGCCCAACTTACTGCCGGCAATGCGGACCAGTCTCAGACACCGGTCATACAGGGACCTAACAACCCGTATCAAAGGGCCCGGTACCCCATACTCCCAGAATACCCCCCCACAGGGTTCCCCAAGGGACGTGGTCGAATGCCTTCTCCCAAGTCCACAAAGCACATGTAGACCGGTTGGGCAAACTCCCATGCAACCTCCAGGACCCTGCTGAGAGTGTAGAGCTGGTCCAGTGTTCCACGACCAGGAAGAAAACCGCACTGCTCCTCCTGAATCCGAGGTTCAACTATCCAGTGGACCCTCCTCTCCAGAACCCCCGAATAGACCTTACCAGAGAGGCTTAAGAGCGTGATCCCCCTGTAGTTGGAACACACTCTACAGTCCCCCTTTTTGAATAGGGGGACCACCACCCCAGTTTTCCAATCCAGGGGAACTTCCCCCTATGTCCACACAATACTGCAGAGTTGCGTAAGCCAACACAACCCTACAACATCCAGAGCCTTAAGGAACTCCGGGCGAATCTCATCCACCCCTGGGGCCCTGCCACCGAGGAGCTTTTTAACCACCTCGGTGACCTCAGCACCAGAGATTGGAGGGCCCGACCCAGAGTCCCCAGGCTCTGCTTCCTCAGTGGAAGACATGCTGGTGGGATTGAGGAGGTCTTCAAAGTATTCCGCCCACCGACCCACGACATCCCGAGTTGAGGTCAACAGCACACCACCCCCACTATAAACAGTGTTGGTGGTGTACAGCTTTCCCCCCTGAGATGCAGGATGGTGGACCAGAATCGCCTCGAAGCCATGCGGAAGTCATTCTTTATGGCCTCTCCTAACTCCTCCCATGCCCGAGTTTTTGCCTCAGCGACCACCTGAACTGCATGTCGCTTGGACTACCGGTATCCATCAGCTGCTTCTGGGGTCCCACAAGCCAAAAGGGCCTGATAGGACTCCTTCTTCAGCCTGACAGCATCCCTCACCGCCGGTGTCCACCACCGGGTTCGAGGGTTGCCACTGCGACAGGCACTGACAACCTTGCGGCCGCAGCTCCGGTAAGCCGCCTCGACAATAGAGGCATGGAACATGGCCCACTCGGACTCAATGTCCCCCACCTCCCCCGGAACATGTTTGAAGTTCTCCCAGAGGTGAGAGTTAAAGCTCCGTCTCACAGGAGACTCTGCCAGACGTTCCCAGCAAACCCTCACAATACGTTTGGGCCTGCCAGGTCTGACCAGCATCCTCCCCCACCATCGGAGCCAACTCACCACCAGGGAGTGATCAGTGGATAGCTCCGCCCTTCTCTTCACCCGAGTGTCCAAGACATACGGCCACCGATCAGATGAGACAACAACAAAGTCGATCATCGAATTGCGGCCTAGGGTGTCCTGGTGCCAAGAGCATATATGGACACTCTTATGCTTGAACATGGTGTTTGTTATAGACAATCCATGACAAGCACAGAAGTCCAACAACAGAACACCACTCGGGTTCAGATCAGGGGGGCCGTTCCTCCCAACCACACCCCTCCAGGTCTCACTGTCATTGCCCACATGAGCATTGAAGTCCCCCAGCAGAACAAGGGAGTCCCCAGAAGGTGCACTTTCCAGTACCCCCTCCAAGGACTCCAAAAAGGGTGGATAATCCAAACTGCCATTTGGTGCATAAGCACAAACAACAGCACAATCATGTGGTAAACATTTTGTCACGTAATAAACAGTTCATCACATGCTTAAAAATTCATTGCGTGGTAAGCAGTTCATTATGTGGTAAAAAGTTCATGTAGTAAACTGTTGATCACTTGGTAAACAGTTCATCAAATGGTAAATAGATCATTACACAGTAAAAAGTTCATCGTGTGGTAAACTGTTCATGATGTTAGCATTTGCAGTTCAGCTGGTCATAATGTTTTTGTCTGATTCGCTCATCACTGTATAGCAGCACGGAGAGGACCTTTTGCAGATCTGGTTAGACGTTCTGCTGCTGCGGTTCCTCCTGTTCTTCATCTTTAACGTCAACTCAAACATTTGAAGCTTCAGTGAAACTGAATCCTTTTAGAATCTGAAAGAAACAATGTTACCTGTAAAATTGCTTTGCTGAATGAAGCAGCTCAAAGAAGATGAAGAAGCTAAAAACGGCTGAAAAGGTTTCACTGCTAAACTGTTATTGTGAGCTGAATTTGAACAGCTGACATTAGCTGAAAGCAGCAGAACAACAGCAGAAATATATCAGAATCAGCTGAAATAGACAGAAAAATGCTGAATAGATTAAAAGAGTTTGAAATGAGCAAAAAGAAACAGAAAAGGCTA